AGCCCGCAAGTGGAGTTGGAGTGCAACAGCACTAGCCACATTTGAGATTTCCAGTACCTGCTATTCAGAGGCCTCCTGTCTCCAAAAGTGGTGACAGAACATAGCCAATGTGGCTAGTAGCTTCAACAGAAAAACAACAACAACCACCCTCCATTTTTATCATTGCCTGTCGTTTACTTCCTGTTCTTAGTAGGTTTGCATAGGATTGCAAACTAAAATTAAAACAGAAACAGTGAAAGTCACTAAGGAGTTTTCGCTTGCAAAGAGGAACATCAAGTAATATAATGATTTCTGTGCAAATTGAAAATAGTCAAGAAAGGTAAGAATGGAAGCCTTATAATGAATGCTGTTGTGAAAAGAAGGATTGGCATAATCAGCTGAATGTGATCCTTTCATTTTAAAAATGTTTGAAGAACCCCTTAGAAGATTATAAGTGCTTATTTACCAGCAATCAACTCAGATCTTGCTAACTAGTTCTCACTGAAGTGGTCTATATCTCACCTGGACTATACCATGCCAGCCTGCAGGTCCCTTACATAGAAAACTACAGATCAGGAAGAAGTGTTCTAGCCTACCCTTCTGTCAGACATGCTAGCTTTCGACATACATTATTTTGTATGGGAAAGTATTTAAATTATGTAAGCTCCCACCTGCAATCTGAAATGGCATTGTCTAGAAACTGGCTTATTACCACTTAGACGAGAAGTACACTTTTGAAAACATGTTAGTTAAGAAAGCTACCACAAACACACATATGCACTGCCTGACATGCATTTTCAAGAGGCATAGGGAAATTGTTGCCTATTTCAATGTTGGCTGAGAACATTTTACCAGCTGAGTTACATAACTTCTTACGCAATGGAAATATTGAACAGACCATTAAAAATAATAGATATTTATAGTGGACATACAAGTCTCACACTTTAACGAAGTGCAAGAGCCCTTTTTATGCCTGCTTCCACTTAAAAATATTTCAGAGAGAGATGGAATCATAGGAAAACAAAGATCTCTTGGTGGTACAAAATGCCATGAAATTCCAATTTCTTCCTGTTACACAAGAGAGAGAGACAGTGCAATCTAGTTAACATACAGAACCCATCATCACTTTTAGGAAGCCAGAAAAAAAATCTTGCCAAAATGACACATTAGGCATAACAGCGATGAAATATTGCTACATGATGTTTTATTATATTTGAAAGTCTCTTGTTGTTTTTGGCATCCGTCTGTCTCGGGAGACAACGGAGGAGTGTGCCTTTGGGGGTGAAGTCAAACTATTGGAGAGTTACAGCGCCTGCTGTGGCTGTAAGAGACTGACGTGGGAGAGACATGTTTTGTTGCAGCTGGGGCAGATGAAAGCACCTACTTCTGCTGCTGCAGATGCACCATGACTCTGAAATCATAAACCCACCACTAAATATGTGAAAATGAAATATTAGTGCTAAAAAATGATACAATTTTTGTACTCCTTAATAAATAACTAAGCAAGTTTTTTTGTTAAATAAACAGATGATTAAAAATATAAATTGTTCAACGGGCAGATATAAAACTGAGCAGAATATGCTGGATTCATTTTCTCCTCTCCTCCTTGGAGCACCAGCTTCCAGTTGGATGCAGATGACCATTTGCCAACCTAAAATTTACCACAGTCAGCATGAAGCCACTGATGAGGTAGTGGGCATTTTATTTCCTACCAGATACAGATGTGCAAGTAAATGGTTGTCCATATCTGCTATGGACCAAGGAGCCTTCAATAAGAAAAGAGGTTTGTGATCACTAAGATCATCTGATGGGTCATGCTGCAATCTATAGAGATTCCTTTTGAAGCAACGGGGGAGGGCTTTTCACCTGGGACACCCTCTCTATACAATCTCCCCCATCATGAATTAAGGCAATGTAGGAAATGTAGTTTTCCCAAGGGTTACTAGCACCAGGTAGCAGCATCTTTCTCCCTATTGCATGTTCTCACTGGCTGCCACTGGAGCTAGAGACTAGTCTTGTAAGTGGTGCAAGTAGAAATGGAATGGAATTTAGAGGTTGTGGGAAGAAGGAACTAGGAATATAGCGGAAGGTTGGGTCACTCAAGGAAGGACATTAAAACTGGCTTGAAAATGAGACTGAGCATTTGTCTAATCCAGGGGCTGGACCAGCGCAGCGCGATGCCGGAAATCATGTCTGTGCATGTCCGCAGTGCTGGAAATCGCTTCTGCACATGCCCAGATGCTGAAAATCGCGCCTGTGCAGAAGCGATTTTTGGCGTCTGAGCATGCGCAGAAGCAATTTCCAGAGCTGAGGAAGAGAGTCCCTGTGCCGTGCTGTGCTGGTTTAGCGCAGCGCGTGGGGACTCACTGAGCAGGCGACTCGGTTCGGGGGCAGCCTGTGGGCCGGTTAAACGGCCTTCATGGGCCACTTCTGGCCCAGGGGCCTTAGGTTGCCCACCCCTGGTCTAATCTTTTGGGAAGTAGCTTGATTTATTTCAAAGGCAATCCAGCACAAGGAGAGGTGGGTGGTGTGAGAGTTCACTCATCACTATATTTCCAACCCATGGCTTATCTAGCAGTAGGCAGTACAGTTATCACCTTCCCAATTATCTAACAGCTGAAAGATAAGATTCCCCACACAAACTCAACTTTTAGGTAATGTGAATGGGTATGATGAAGATGCTACCCGCCCCCGCCCTCCGCTTCCTCTGCAGCAGCCTAATAACATCATAAAATATGTATTCAGGCGTGTTGAGAATAATACAAATGAAAAACAGAGACTCCCTGCAAGGTCAAATCTGCCATCTTGTTACACTAGCAATTCAAATATAGTTTTGTATGTTTCATTCTGTGATATTTGGCTTAGGCATATACTGTAACCCTTTCTTCCAATGCACTTCAGATTTTATTTTATAGGAGCCATAATTCAGTGGTTGTTAACACATATATTTTGTGCTACACTGCAACAGAAGAAGAAATCCCCAGGGAGAGGGAATTTTCATCACTGCATTATTATTTTTGTTCTTATTAGGTTCATTACTTCCATTTATTTGTTCTTGTCAAGAGTTGTAGTAAACTATCAGGCTTTTTATTAGACTAACTGCATAAGTGCTAATTGTTCTAAGGTGCAAAATGAAGAAGCTTTGGTTTAGCATTCAGAAGCACAGTCTTCTTGTTAATTTGCTCAATAAAGTGGTTGTTTAAATGTATAGATTCATTTTACAGTGAGAACGCTAAAGTCATTAATTAATAGGTGTTCAGGTGGAAAGAAAAAACAGACAAGGTATACACAAGGAGTTACTCTAAAGCTTGGGCCATCTACCTGAGCCAAGGTTCACTGTTGGCTCCAGCATCAGGACGATTGTGTCCAAACCTATGCAGTCCTCTGTATTATTATACAGTGGTACCTCGGGTTACAGACCCTTCAGGTTACAGACTCCACAAACCCAGAAATAGTACCTCGGGTTAAGAACTTTGCTTCAGGATGAGAACAGAAATCGTGTGGTGGCAGCACGGCGGCAGCGAGAGGCGACATTAGCTAAAGTGGAACCTCAGGTTAAGAACAGTTTCCAGTTAAGAACGGACCTCCAAAACGAATTAAGTTTTTAACCTGAGGTACCACTGTACTAGGGACGCAGGTGGCACTGTGGGTTAAACCACAGAGCCTAGGACTTGCCAATCAGAAGGTCGGCGGTTCGAATCCCCGCAACGGGGTGAGCTCCCGTTGCTTGGTCCCAGCTCTTGCCAACCTAGCAGTTTGAAAGCACATCAAAGTGCAAGTAGATAAATAGGTACTGCTCTGGCGGGAAAGTAAACGGCGTTTCCGTGTGCTGCTCTGGTTTCACCAGAAGCGGCTTAGTCATGCTGGTCACATGACCCGGAACACCTGTCTGTGGACAACGTCGGCTCCCTCAGCCAATAAAGCGAGATGAGTGCCGCAACCCCAGAGTCGTTCACGACTGAACTTAACTTTCAGAGGTCCTTTACCTTTACTGAGTAAGAAGGATGAATAATTTCATACAGCTTTTCTTTAAAAAAAAACCAAAAAAATACCCAATCTGGATCTTTAAAATTTTCTTTTAACAATGAACTTGACATAAACGTGAAATGAACCTGAGATGTGACTTGAACTTGTATCGGAATTTAAACCTAAAATGGATTATAAAACGCCACCACTCTCTAGTGCTCCCAGTTATTGAAGAACATAATAACATAGGAAGAGCCTGCTGGAAGGGCCAAAGGCCCATCTTGTCCAACATTCTGTTCTCACAGTGGCCAACCAGATGTCCATTGGTAGGACCTGGGTGAAACAGCACACTCCCTTCCTAGGATTCCCACCTGTGTTTGATTACGTTTCCCATTGGGACCCCATCTGAACTATACATTTAAAGCAGTATCATACCACTTCAAAGAGCTGCCTTCCTCCAAAGTATCTTGGGAAGTGTCACTCATTTAGGGTGCTTAGAGTTATTAGACCCCTGTTGCTACAATTCCCCTGTTGCTACAATTCTGGCCCTTCCAGAGTTCCCTGGGAAGAGGGACTGATGGGTGAACTACAGTGGTACCTCAGGTTACAGACTCCACTAACCCAGAAATAGTACCTCGGGTTAAGAACTTTTCTTTAGGATGAGAACAGAAATTGTGCGGCGGCAGTGGGAGGCCCCATTAGCTAAAGTGGTACCTCAGGTTAAGAACGGTTTCAGGTTAAGAACGGACCTCCGGAACGAATTAAGTTCTTAACCCGAGGTACCACTGTATTCTAAGAACTGTAACTCGGTGAGAGGAATAGGGATCTCAGCAAAATCATTACCCTTCCCAGTATTCTTTGGAAGAAGATATGGCTGCTTAAAGAGAGATGATATTACCCTAAATTTATAGTGCAGTTGGATGCCTATGTTTTTGATCCCAAACATAATCTCTCAGAAGATCAGAAGAGATTATGGTGTTTTGCCATTTCCTTTCCTTCTTCTTATGCCTACTCCTTCACTTCATACAGTAAGGTGCTATCTTACAATATCTTACCTTTCCAGGAGCGCACATGGTTCCATCCAGTGGAGGTCCTTTCTTTGTTTTGCAGAAATAAGGGTTATCGGGATGACTACACCATAGCTGTTTGCATGGATCAAAGGTACGGAACTAGAATGAAAGGATGCATGACCATAAGTTAACCTCTTGATTTTTACATACACAGAATGCTCAGTTAGCAAAGGTTGTGTTGGCAAATGGAGTATATTACAGTAGACTAGCCTTATGAAGGCAGAAATGAAGGTTGCTAGATTCTGGTCAGCCAGAAGGGGACACAGAATGGTGTACACTGCTATGTAGGCTTTTAGAAGTTTTCAGAAGCCATAGTGGATCCAGAAGCACTCCAGTGCTACATACCAGAATGTACAGAGAAGTTTGAGCACTATTTATGTCCCACCATCCAACCTGCCACCCCAGAAGTCATAAATCGGCCAGTCATCATTAAATCAGCGCTGTCAGCATTCCATTTAAGTCAGCTCCCTGGTGCCCAACATCCTCCTCCAACAACACTGGATGGATACTGAATTAAATGAGTATTTATTCATTTATTCATAAAATGTCTAAACTACCCTTCGTCCACCCAATTCCAGGCTGGTGTACAATAATGATAGCAAGCCTCCTTACTATAATAAAGCAACACAACATCTTTTAAAGAACAATTGAGAGAGGAAACAAAAAATAATGGCCATTAAGCAGAACAGAGGGCATAAAAACAAACTGGATGAAAAATGACCCCAGTATAGGATTTTGCTCAGTACTATACTGGAACTATGGAGCGCAGAGGATCCTACTATTAAGTACAGGCGTGGACTGTAGATCAGTGTAGGTGAATTTTGCAGTTCAACCACAGTAGACTGCCCACAAAGAAGAGCAGCAAAAGAATGAAGATTATCAGTGTTCAGGCACAAGAAAGAAGAGATCTTCCGTTCAGAGCCAGGGGAACATAGCGTTCACAATACACATCACCACAGATGTGGTTTTCATTCCAGAAATCCTTACACATAAAAGAAAGAAAAAATAGACCACACCAGCTGGAAGTTGTTTTGTGTTTTGCTTTAGTCCTCACTGTAGGAGACACACACACATCAGGGTCAGGGATTGGGGGTGGGCAGTAAATTTTTACCAGGTGTCCTAAAGACTACACCACCGAGGAGCTGATCTGGTTTTAACTAGGTCCAAACGTTCTGTTCGTTATGTGTATATGATAAAAGGAATGCATTGGTCAATGGTCATACAACCAACACAGGAAAGCAATCTGTTTTGTGCCATGCAAATTTGCAAATGTTAATAAACACAGTTCCTCAAAATGACCTTATGTGTGCAATAAGGCAGAAACAATGGGCAAGAAAGTGATGACAGCAAGAAGGGTATATTCTTGTTTGAAGCTCTGCCTCTTCATCATCACGGTTTCACATTCTATACCCCAAGGCTAAGCAACTCAGACTGTTTCTGTATCATTAGTTGAGTATCCCCAAACCTCTATCTAGGGGATGAAAACGACTTAGGGAGAGGCTCATTTCTTTTACAGCAGATTCATTTTTAACATTTAAAAAGCATGACCTGCTTTAAGCCTGCAGGGACAGAACTGGTTGGAGAGCTAAATAAATGTCTAAATAGTCAGTGCATCTAACAATGAGCAGGATCCCTCCTCATGTGGCTCCAGTGCCTACACATGGAGGGAACCCTATAAGGCTGTCCCCCACCCCCTTGGCAAGCATGCCGGTTGAGCAATAAAGGAAGTCAAGCAATGGGAGTTGAATGCATGCAACGTCCATATCCTCCATCCAGCCCCACCCCAACCCCACTCAGTCAACTAAATAGCTACGCTAAATACTTTACTGTATATACTAGTTGACCCGTCCAGATCTGGCAGCACCTTGTATGTTACATAAAGCTAAGTCACAGTGCTCTTTGGAAAGTGGTCAAGAGACACTTGGATACACTGACAACAGAGTAAATGCCAACATTGATGACTGAGCACCACCAAATGGAGGGGCTTCTTTCTTGTGAGCCATCCACACGCATGGGTGCACCGGCTATAATATTTTTGATGCAGCCTGGATTTCGAGATGAACTAGGACTGCTGTTTGGGCTGGGAAACTGTCTACAGAAATATTATTCGGCTGCCAAAAAAAAAAAAAAAAAGGTCTAGAGGAAGCAGAGCAGAGCGTATGTCATGTACCATGTGCATCCCCTCCTGATGCTAGTATCAGGAAAGAAGGTAAAAACGAGACTCACACAGGAGTCATTTCAATAGGACATCCACAATGGGGGGTGGGGACAAAAGATGGAGGTATATTTTGGGTGGGAATCCCAAGCCGAAAGCAGACTCTATAGTGCTAAGTTAAGCCATCCTGGCAAACCTTTTTTTGAACTTGGAAATGCTGAATGGGTCATGGCAGGGACTGACACCTGCACCCTATAAGAAGCCGATGTCTGAGCTCATGACAGGGAATCCCTGTGCATGCATGTAAGGCTGTATTTTCATAAATGAGAACAGAGGCCACTGCACAAAGTAGGGTTTGGAACTCCATTTGGGGGCATTGAAGTGGTGAAATGTGATACTCCCTCTTTACCATATTCATTGGTTTTCAAAACTAAAATTATACAATTATAAAATTATAGCATCATAATTTTTGGATTTTCAATTTCCAAAAGCAGGGTGTTTACACGACTTTCTGCAACACCTCAGAGCTTACTATTGCACTTTCTTTTCTGTCAGTCAGACGCATGACCCTTCTTCCGAGACTCTAGTTTAACGGCTCTTTAAAGCCATTTCAGGGACAGCTGCAAAAAGGCCCTGGACAAGGTACAGCAAAAGTCGGTTAAGTACTCACAGCTGTGCACATCATGTAGCCCAGGCCAAAATCAAAGCGGCACTGCTCGTTCATGGAGTAGTGGATTCCTGGCAGCTGAGGCAGGGAAGGCCAGTCGTGATCAAATGGATCATCACGCAAACAATCGTAGGAGCTGAAACAGGCAAAAATTACAGGCACAGATGGGAATGTGAAACTTTTACAGTGTTTGAGGTTTCAGTTCAAATTTATTCCAAGCAAAATAAAGGGCAGGTTTTCTCAGAAATGAGTTCACAAAGCACAGTTAATACCTTAGGTTACACTGAACATGGCATTCACTATGCTAGATTTGCCTCTGAGACTGGTCAATGTCCTGTCCATTGTTATGCCCCTAAGTTGAAGAGTAGGTTTATATTCTAATTTATAGCCCTGAGAAACCACCCGAAAATAATTTTTTTTGTTAAGTTCCTATAAGTGGGGATGAGACCATTTCTTTCTGTATAAAATTTTTTATTCTTCATGTTTTTATTGTTTGTTATTGGAGTCATCTGTTTAATAAATAAACAAACCAGTTAACTGATGCTGTTTCCCCTTTCTTTTAAATTCTATTACAATTATTGCTACTTCATTATGTTGTTTAACATTTTATATTTGGCTTTGTATTTGTTGTCTTATGCTGGTTAGGAATTTTTTTAAAAAATCTTTTCTGCTAAGCCTGTAATAAATAATGTGTTTGAAAACAAAGTAGGGATAAGGACAAAAGCTTTAATTACATTTCCATTTGTGAAATTTGTGCCAGCACTGTGTCTTTTAAGGAAAAGTTTAGGAGGAAAGGGCAGTGCGATCATCCAAGAATATTGACTGCCAAGCTTCACAAATAAATGATTCTGTGCCTGAGCCAGGAGTACATACATATAAGAAGCCAGGGCTCTTTTTGGCCTTTTGCTTTCTTAAACACACTCAGGTCTGTTTCACTGTTACATTTTCACTTTCTACCTGAAACTATCTCTATAGGTTTCCTTTCCAGGCTGAGGGGGGGGCAACAGGATTTGCCAGAAGCCTTGCTAAGCCAGCAGAATGCCATATACGCAGCCGCCATGACAGGTATGCCAACAGGGTGGCTGAAATGGAGTCGATCTGTGGGTGAGATGGGGTGGTGTTGGAGAACAGCACACATATGCACCATATCCCATAACCCTTCATTCCACCAATTAGTTGTCAAAGCCAAACACGAGTGAGAGCCAGTGGGGTGTAGTGGTTAAGAGCGGTAGTCTCGTAATCTGGTGAACCGGGTTCGATTCCCCGCTCCTCCACATGCAGCTGCTGGGTGACCTTGGGCCAGTCACACTTCTCTGAAGTCTCTCAGCCCCACTCACCTCACAGTGTGTTTGTTGTGGGGGAGGAAGGGAAAGGAGAATGTTAGCCGCTTTGAGACTCCTTAGGGTAGTGATAAAGCGGGATATCAAATCCAAACTCTTCTTCTTCTTCTTCTTCCCTTTCCCAGACGCTGTTCAGTAAAGATTTTGGTATTGCCACAAGTGTTGTTTCTTGAGGATCCCTTTCCCACTCCCTAATATGATCTGGCTTCAGCTGCCTGTAGGATGGATTTCTGAAGTGGGGTGGGGCAATTCACCCTACTATAAGGTATTTTTGCACGCTATTTTCTCAAATATATGTGTCTTTATGCACACTTAACCCTTGTATATGCATTTTTGTACAAATTACTTGGTTGGAGAATTGCATTGCAAATTCAGAAATATGCAAATTTTGAAGGATGGCTGGGTTTTTAGTTGTTGTACTGCTTTGGAATATTAATCATGTTCCTATTATTATTATTATTATTATTATTATTATTATTTTATTTTTTTTTAAAATGCCGTCCACAGTGTCACAAAGAAAACTAGGAAATCAATTAGTGTTAATGGCACATCCACTGCAAAGTTTTGTTTTGCTCTTCAGTTCTGCTGGCTTCTAGAAAGAATGAAAACAAGGGAAGGAATATTATGGGATGTAGCTTATAGAGATTAAAAAGGAAGACTGAAGGAGAAAAATGTATTACAAGGTGACTTACAAAGTCAATAAAAATCCCTCAAAACAAGCAAGCAGATAACAATTCTAACCTTGACAAGGAGAACAAGCACATTAAAAAAATCAAGCAATATAAGATAGTAGAAAAATTATAGTGCATTTTCTAAAAGCAAGCTTCCATAAATGACATTGCACATTTTTCAAATGGTCAATAAGAGACACACACTGACATGCATCAATCTTCTTCTATATAGGAGAAGGCCCCATTGAGTCTTTGAGGGTGGAACTACATATTGCATTAGCAAATGTGTTTCCAAACTTGTCCTGGGAATGTCCAAAATCATCCCTCCTTCCTCACCACTGCCCCACACTTCCAGTTGATTTATTTCAAATACTAGTGAATAGAGAAAACAATAGATTAAAATAGTCTGGGAGGTCAGATGCAGGGAAGGAGTGCAGAGGAAGGATCTGCCTCCACTTCACTGATTTCTCCTGTACATGCTCACCTCTATAACTGCCTTAATGTTAGAGGGCAAACATTTATAGTTTCACCATAAGCAAGAGCATTTCCCTTTATGCACATCTTCATAAGAATGGAGGGAAGAGGGAGAGACACTCTCTAAGACTTGCAATCCCAGGTCATGAAGGGCTTCATAGCTCAAACTGCATGCTGACAAGGAACAGATGAATTGTTGGTGGCCAGGCCTCAGGTGAGTTTCTCCCTTCTTGACAGAGCAAGTATGTGGTTTGCAGGTACTCTTAGATCAAGCATCGCTCCTGAAATCTCTAGGAGTAACTGTAGCCAGAAGTGAATCTTCATAGCTGTCTGCACTACCTCCTTGAGATAGTAACCTCCAATTTCAGTTGCTGTAATAAAGGCCTGCTCTCGAAGGTGGTCCAGAATTTTCTGCAGCCCACTTGTTAACAGGGGTTGGGCTATAGGGAGCATGTGTTGGTGATTCTTCACTTTGTTGTTAAGCCTGATTCAATGTATTGGTTATGACCTTTAAACTTCTAAATGTCCTAGGCTCAGCAAACCTATGGGGGTGTCTCCTTCCATATGAACCTGTCAAGCTGTTTAGATCTGCCAGTGAAACTTTGCTCCAAAATTCATTCTACATCAAATAATATCTACAACATTCTATGCCACCAGTTGATGCTTCAGAACTATCTTCAAGAGCAGTGTATTACAATAGTCAAGCATCAAAGTTACAAACGCATAGTGGGTAATTATCTTTCACAATATCCCCTCCATACCTTTGTTTCATCTTCAAAAGTCAGCACCATACATTCATACTACTGGTGATGATCAAAGGATCGTTTTGTTTCTGTTCTTTTTTATTAAAAAAAAGAAGAAGCTGGGGCATGTTCACTTTATGTAATGAAATGTAGCTTTAAAAAAGATACTGGCACTGTACAAAACTCACATTGATTCCTGTTTATTTTAATCTGTTCTTGCCAGAAGCCACTCCTTAAAATATTGCTGAAAGAGAACTGAGAAAAAGCTGGTGCTGAACTCTGAGAAAATCCTTTTTTTTTTTTTGCATTGTTGCCCCATGTACAAAAATTTACAGCACATGCCTATCCAGGTCTACTCGGATGTGCATCCCATTGAGTTCAATGCAGCTTACTCCCAAGTCAAGTGGGGTTAAGACTGCAGCATTTATTTATTTTATAGCTCTTACACCCCTTCCCCAACTAAAGATAGCTCCCATATTCCTAGCAAGATTGTTTTCCTTTTTAAAAACCCAAGACTCGATTGAATGGTGGTCTATAAACACTGCGCTTAGAATTTCACTCACAACCTCATAGGTTCCCACTTCATCAGTATACTCACTGGAGGTATCGGGTCAACTCCTGCTGACTGCATCGAGACCAGTGGAAGCGGTGGAAGGCAGCCTGCACAAGAGGGGCCATTATGCTTCCCATCCGGACTTCATCCCCGCACCTGTTTCCTTGGCCATCATGTTCCATGCCTAAACTAGAGGAAAAGGTAGCACAACAAAGCCTGTTAAAGAAGTCTTACTCCTTATCGTTTTAATAGAATGGTGGAGTTGGAAAGAAACTTGGAACCAGGATCTGCAATAAAGGATACGACTACCAGCATCCCTGGCAAGCCTGTAAATGGAGACAAAGCTCAGGAGCAGCAGCAGGAAGCAAGGAGCAGCTGCCATGAATCTGGCCTCCAGGCACTTCTATGTACTGGGATGATGAACAAGGTAGCAGCATCACCTGGCCAGCTTCCTGGCTGCCTTCCTCTCGCCATGCTCCAGTTTTTCCATGTCTCTCTTAAAATATGGCACGCATAACAAGACACAACATTCCTGATGCAACCTCACTAGTACAGAATACAGTGGAAGTATTTTAATTTTATTACATTTACATCCTGTCCTTCTTCCATCATGGCAAGGGTCCCATATTGTCACACACCCAGGGGCTGACCAGACCCAGACCTGCTCACCATATTCCTGCAGACTATACTGTAGCATGCATATACCTGGGGCCCACACCCTTCTGATAATGCAGCCTATGATTAAATTAGCTTTTGAGCAGCCCCACTGTTATGCTGGCTCAGGTCCAACTTCTGAAGTCTGTCCTTAATTACTTTTCCCATCATGTTTCATTTAATTTTTTCTTACATTCTACTCTTTCTTTGAGAAGCTAAGAGCAGCTTACATGGCCTGTCAATGACCTCCCACCCAGGCACTAATCAGGTCCACACCCACACAGCTTGAGGAGTGCTACAGTGCTCTTGACCGGTCACTAGGCCCATTTGTCAACGAACAAAATTTCGATGAAGTTGGAGACTTCTTAAAGAGGATTTATCATTCCACCACAACACTGCAGACATACACTGTGAAGCAATATCTCATTCCCCTGTCAGAGAAATGACCTTTCATTTCCCTCCATGTTCTTTTTAGAGGAAGATTCAGGAATAAATGAAAAGAAATGCATCAAAGATATAGAGAGCCAAATCATGTGTAGATTCTTAAGAGGACAGGAAAGTCCTCAGTAATAACTAAGAGAAGAAACAGAAAAGTGTCCACAGGCTATCCTAGTCTAATAGAAAGGGTTGAGGGAAAATGCATCTCTGAGAGTCCTTATTCTATTGAGATGCTGAAGGCATTTCATTCAGGATTAAAAATGAGGATTTACTACTACCTTCCCGCCTAATGGCATCAGGTTTCATCCATCGGGCACTGTTCTCACACAAGATCCCTTGGAACAAACATTAACATGTTTGTTGTGCAGGAGAAGTAGAAGAAGAAGAAGAAGAGTTTGGATTTGATATCCCGCCTTTCACTCCCCTTCAGGAGTCTCAAAGCGGCTAACAATCTCCTTTCCCTTCCTCCCCCACAACAAACACTCTGTGAGGTGAGTGGGGCTGAGAGACTTCAAAGAAATGTGACTGGCCCAAGGTCACCCAGCAGCTGCATGTGGAGGAGCGGAGACGCGAACCCGGTTCCCCAGATTACGTGACTACCGCTCTTAACCACTACACCACACTGGCTCTCAAAAGAAGTGCTTTGGTAAGCTGTAATCACATGCCCATTCCAAGGTAAGGAAATAAATCTAAAGTACCTGTCACCCACCAAACTGAACTGAGTCTACATATTGTAGGTCCAGCCTTCCAGTGTCTGCCATTGTGGGCAAATAAGAATAATGAGAAAGTTTAAGAGGCCACTGGCAGGATGCCATTCATGCACGGTGGGAGGTATTTGGTCTGATCCAGTTGTGCAAGCCAATCCTAAAGGCAAATCTCTAGTGGATGAATGGTGCATGAATGGAGCCATATACCACACATAAGTGCTACTTACACGTGTCCAGTTTCATGGGCTACAACAAAGGCTGAAGAGAAGCCATCTTCATGGTTCAGTGTGCAACTTCGGACTGGATGACACATGCCAGTAACTGGAGCATAGCCTATTAGGGAGAATGTGAGATATGAAAAGATGCATGTAAAAGAACTCTTTAAATATGCCAATCAGTAGTAAGCATTCCAGCAGGTGTCTTATTTAAATAAGTGGGAAATAGAGGAAAACACTGGGGGGGGCAGGGGCAGATGGTCTTAGGCAAAAGGAGCCCACAATTGACAGCAATTGACCAGAACCTCCCAGGGATCGACCAGTCGATCCAGATCGACCTGCTGGACATCCCTGATCTACAAGATACAATGTTGGCTACCCTTGGTCTGTGGTTAACTGAATGGCCCCATTAAATCCTAGTGTAGGTTTGGGAAAGAGGAAAAAGCAACGATGAGCTACAATTTTAAAATCATGTTGCTGTTTTTTTTTAAAGGCTCCCTAGAGAAATAACTAGGCACTCTAAGCCCAGTACTTTTGGAAATTCTTGAGTGTGAAATGGGTTCTTCAGTCAGAGTTATATTTGAAGAACTATTCATGCTTTCCAACTGAGAAATCTTGGCTGTTTCCAAAAGCACTTGCACTGTATTTTGGCTAGTCTGCTAACTTGTAAGACTTCTTTGGTTTGATTAAGATTTAAAAGAAAATATCCCTCAAATGCCTTTGAAGCTGAAAAACAAATATGGATTAAAGAAGTCAGAAACAAACAACAGCAGAGAAATAGCAATGGGCTAAATTTCCCCTTTAAGGCCAAATATCAGATGGTGCTAAAAGATACGAGGGTGAGAGAAGCATGATCTGGGAGCCATACCTTTTGTGTGATGGGCTGCCCTTCAACATGGAACTTACCTTGCATACCAGAGGGGCCAAAATCCTGTCTAGTGAGAAATATTGCGTGGTCATGATATTCTGCATGCCCGGTATCAGGTTTCTGTTGTAAGTAGGCCCAGCGACACACATTCTCTAAACTTTGAGAAGGGTTACCGATCTCAATCAAACTTGTGGACTAGATCATGAAAGAAAGAAAGAAAGAAGAAAGAAAGAAAGAAAGAGAGTTACAATTTGTTTTTTAGCCACCCTGTCTTAGCCCAGAGCCTCTGGAATATATGTGCTCACTTCAGCACGGAATTACCAATCCATTATGGTAATGGTACACCCACAAACAAAGGCCTTAGTCTTAAGCCCACTTATTTATGGATAAAAGTAATTTGTTCCCTTTTACAGTGGTGGTTACTTATCTCACAAGAAGACAGAATTGGAGTTGATCTTACACAAAGGAAACATAAATCTTCCATTTTAGATGCGTTTTGACAAAGGCATCTCATGTCTATGAAGTCAAGTGGGACTTAACATACCAGAGGATTGGAAAAAACCACGACTAAGTGCAGTGCTTTTTTTAAAGCTCTGAGTTGCCAAACATTTTAAAGAAGGGACCACATCAAATGAATATTGTATTTTGGCTGCTTTGCTAGACAAAGTAATATGGGACAAAGAACAGCTTCTTATGCAATGTTTGGTACCCAATGCTGGAAAATTAAAATACATAAATGCTGAATCAGCTGTGAAAGCCACAGGCATCTTTTATTTGTTGCTTGTATCACAAGTGTTAAATATGGCATTTATTTAACACTTCAAAAAATGATGAAATGGGAATATATACAATTTTATACTCGGGGGTCTATACTTTACGTAAGAAGCTGCCCTAAGGCAGGGTGTGCAGGAGACTTGCAGGCTAGATTTGTGATGCCCATCCTCTAACTGCACCTATCAAAATGAAAAAGGAGTAATTCTGCATAAATTCTGTCCCCCTGCCTCAATTTAATATAAGCATAATCGATTATCCAAATTAGTCCCCATCATAACCTAATCTGTTTTATAATTCAACAGTTACATGTAAAATTCCTGGTAATTTTACCAAATTATGGTAATTTTACCAAATTATGGTAGGTATTCCTTTGTGTGAAACAGCCTTATTTGGCCATGATAAACTAATCAAAGAAAAGAACCACCATAGAATTACTCCTTATTGATATTGGTAGGAGTGACAGTAGTCTCCCCACAAGGAGCTGTGCTCCAAATTTCAAAGACTGATGTTTGTGTAAGTACCATAATTTGATCTGAAAACCAAACCGATTGGTCTTGTATTCAACTGATGGCTCATCCAGATTTCCTGTTGCCCTGCACTTTCCAGGCAGAGATCTGGGATTTAAAGCTCTGTTTCCAAGCGTAGTTTTTTGTGTGTATATGTGGGTTTGTTTGTTTTTGCCTCAGTGCTTTTCCTGAGAAAACCTGTGTTTCACCGCTGAATCGGAGCAAATGGCAATTGGGTCTAAGCCTCTAACATTCAATGACAGACCCATCTATTCACAAAAATTTCGCTGTACCACTAATGTGACCCAGTTTTGACCGTGCAAGCAGCTCTCATTCAGCTGAAGACTGAGGAATAATCATATTGTAAATAAATGCTGAGTATACCAACTCACAGGGGCATAAAAATGTGTGACTACTTGGCACATTAATTTTCAAACATACCAATATAATATGATAAGCTATGGAATAATTAAAGAAAGTTTATATATATATATATATATATATATATTTGCTTTCGTAGATTTTCACGGGTACAGGAATGCAGGTTTTGGTGTCCTCGGGTGTCTTCTACACGGGAAGACACCCGAGGACACCAAAACCTGCATATATAGATCTGGCTGGCACAGGGCACAAAACCACAGCTCGCCCCTATACCCGAAGCCAAGCCAGAGCACAACTAAGTGCAGTACAGCCATCTTCTCAGAAAAACTTTTCACAAAGTTCAAGAGGTCAAGACACGAAGGCTTGAGCAACTAATCCACACCTAATGACCCACCTAAGTGGTACTCAGAATATCACTCAAGAAATCACTCAAGATACCCCTCAAGTAATTAAGGAACAAAAGAAGAAAAGGCACACTAGCCTGGGAACTTCCTCTCTGCCCAGAACATTGGAGGCTATACACCACACCCCCTCAACAGTATTTATAGGAACTCAAACACTGAGATCCTGCTCTGTTCCAGTAACAAGAAGCCGAAAGCACCAGCCTGAAGATGACGAGTGAGACCTCGTCGAAACGTCGCCTAGACACCCCAACTTTTACACGGGAAGACACCCGAGGACACCAAAACCTGCATATATATATATATATATATATATGTATATGTATGTATGTATACACACACACACACACATATATATACACTTCTTGTAAGCTGTCCTGTGAATGAAGTGGAAGGGGAAAGGTATATATTTTGTTAAGAAACAAAGGATACATTCCCACCCCAAATACTCTTGTACAGAGGGAGCGAAAACTTGCAGTTGGGAGAATTAATATAAGGCCTGGCACTGGACACTGGCATTTCCAACCTTTTGCAATGTTCTACTGGCTGTTTCTTACAACATTTAAACCTTCCCAAAATCTGGAAGTGCATCACATGATGCAACTGTCTGGATCCCTTATCCCTTACACCAGAGGTGAGGAGCGCCTGGTCCTTCAGGTGCCAAACCCGCAGCAGCCCTAGCCAATGTGACCAACGGTCAGGGAATTGTAGTCCCTCAACATCTAGCAGGCACAGGTTCCCCAGTGAAATTAGAATCTGGAGCCATTTGCAATGTTGTCGGAGATGCCAAAAAATAATAATATTGCAATAGTAAAAAATGGTACAGATCTGAGGAACCTCCTTTGTTCAGAAGATGATAACCCTGACTGTGCACCAGAAACAACTACAGTATCCCATCACCAGCTACCCTGGCTGGCATCTATCTCTTATTTATTTCCCCAGCATGACAACTATGATTAGCACATGAATCCTAGTATCTGCTTCCATGGGGGAGTTCAACACCCATCCACCCACCCCTATATATATATATGGTTGCTGCTACAAGATGGTTTCCAGTGCTAAGCATAAACTGCAGGACAACAAGCAACTGTTTTTGTTTGTTTGTTACTTTTGCCCTGCAAGATATATTTCAAAATTTTTTCTGGCTTTGAAGAATGTCTCCATCACTACATCTGAAAAAATCTCAGCCAGCTGTCTCTAGTTGAAAACAGCTTGGTTGATCTGTGTTGTCTCACGCAGCTATACCACATGTAACGAATTGTTATTCAGGAAGCTTCCCAACGCCCTTACAAATGAGCTTGCACAGATACAATTGAACTGCCAGTTTTGGTGGTGAGCAGAACCATACTTTTGGGGGTTGGGCAGGGAATACAGATTGAAATCTATCCTGTGGCATTCAATGATGTTTAAGATGTTCTTACAGCATTTTGGATTACAGTATACAGTGGACGCTAGGGTTGCGAACGTGATCCGATTTGGCGCTTCTGCGCATGCGTGACCTCCAAAACCCGGAAGTAACCCATTCCGGTACTTCTGGGTTTCAGCGGCTGTAACCTGAAAAAACGCAACCTGAAGCGTCTGTAACCCGAGGTACGACTGTATACTATCTGGAACCTTTTAATTCTGGCAAAAAGAAGAGAAAAGGAACAGGTTCTGTTGTTGGCAAAAAAATGAAGACGGCATTAGCATTTATTTAGGCTGCAATCCTGTTGACATCCACCTTCCACCTAGCAGTAAGTTTGACTGACCTCAGTCAGGTTTCCGAGTATACATGTGTAATGGGAATTGGGGTTGCTTGTGCGTAAACTCCCCAACCGTTCCACGCTGGTTGTATAGCTAAACCTTTCCCTGGTTTGACAGCCCTCACAACGCGACTGTCTCAATCACTGGCAGAATCCGTCAGTGGGCGTTTCCTGAACTTCTTCCAACATAAGAATTCCTTGACAGCAAGTCTCCGCCTAGCTTCTCTGCACGGAAGCCTTCTGCGCAGAGTGGGCGTGCCAAGCGGAGGTCCTGCACTCTTCCCGCTGATCTCACTAGAAGAGTCCCGGAGCCTACCCTCCGAAGTACTCTCCGCCTCCCCTTTCTTCCTGGTGTCACCTTGATTTTCTTCCCCAGCGGAAGCTCTCTCTCTCTCCTTGCTAGTTCCCTCCCCTGCATCATTGGGGCGACTTCCCTCTCCGCTGGTCTCTGATGTCAGTTCCCTGACAACATGCTTAAGACTTTCTTGTGAAAACAGAAATTGCTGGTATCCGTTTGTCTGGAGTTATCTGCTTGAATCCCACTAGGTCCAATGGAATTGCTAAAGTTTTTTTTTTAACAGGCCATCTGGTTGATCACTGTGAGACTGGCCTGATCCAGCAGGCTCTTCTTATGCTCCCTAGCGTGTGTGCTTAGGATTGCAGCCATTGTCCGTTCCAGGCAATACTACACTGCAATACACTTGCAGAAATACCAGGTTGTTTACAGACATGTTTCTTGAGCATTCGTCCTGTTTTGTTTGCACAAAGTTTGCAAGGATACTATACTACATCGGTGGTTTACTGAGTATTCACTCTGATTTGTTTAGATAGCATTATACAATGTTGCATTCAAGCAACTGTAATCCCACACATTTCCCCATCACTTTCCTGATAACTGAATGAATAAATTAGGCTCGTTGAGCAACAGCAATGAATCCCACCCAGGATGTTGGGCTGTGACCTGGGAGACCAGGGTTCAAATCCCAGCTCAGCCATCAAGCTCACTGGGTGGCATTGGGCCAGTCACTATCTCTCAGCCTAGCCTACCTTGCTGGGTTGTGAGGATCAAATGGGTTGGGGAGAACCATGTGACCCACCTTGAAGACCTCGAAGGAAAAAGTGGTATATCAATGTAATAAATAGAAACATAGTGACAGTCTGGATGTGGTCCAGCTAGGAAGGTCTTCTGCATTTCCTGCATTGTAGGGGGTTGGACTAGATGACGCTCTGGGGTCCCTTCCAACTCTACAATTCTATGATTCTAACACCAGGGATAACTCCATACGTACACTGCATATGTTAACGTGGCACTAATGCTAACCTTGGAGAAGCACCCTGGAGCTTCTCCTATATGCACAAGGAGTTCTAGAAAAGAACATCAGAGGAGTCTG